AAAAAATTAATATAATTAACTAAAAAATAGTATTGGATATGCTGTGCAACTTGTATGCGAAGTAATTTGAAGCATTGAAATACAGACATATGTACTCGTAGTGTTGCCACCGCAGAGGATCGTTATTTGTGTATGTTTCCATGAATATTATATGACTAAAAGGTATTACTGTAATGTAATTACACACACTCACATACAAGTATGCAAACATGTATACAAATGTTCAAATTGTGCGCATGTGTGTGTATATGCAGCAAAGTTTGGTGAAATTCAGTTAAAAAATATTTTAAAAGTTGTAATTACAGCTGAAGTTTGCAAAAAACAAAAACAACAAAATGACTATGTAATAGCGTTTATAAATTACAACAAATACAATAATTACTAAAATATTATTACCATAACAATTACAGTTATGCTGTTAAAAGGTATCTACCTACAAAAGCAAAATAAAAAGACAACTATAAGAAAGTTCTGAACTTGTACAACAATAACACAAAAGAAGCTACACTTTTTACAAAAACAAAACAGAAATATAATATATAATAAAAGTAATATGATTAAAACAATATTTAAATAATTTAGTTGTAATTTATTTATATTGTTAAAGACAAGCAAACACAAACAACAACACTACGCCAAACAGACACTTAGAAAAACACACCTACACAACCACACACGAACTGCATAGCTGATGGAGGAGTCACTATGTAACGAAAAGTATTAGCCGCAAATTACACTTTTTTTACTAAAAACTAAAAAAATAAGCAACATAACTCGCAGCGTTCAATAAAAAAGCATTCTTATTACATATGTTTGCGACAAAAATGGCATATTTAAATGGTTCAAAGGTATACATACTTTCATTGCTGGTATGTCTTAGTGACTAAATTAGCACACTTTCTGATAGAAACATTTAGCAGCTGCAAACTGTGTGAAAACAAATAGAAATAATCGACAAAAAAATTTACATTTCAATGGAGAATTCATTTTGCTTAAAAGCAATTGGCTGCCTTGAAGCTCTAACGTACATAAATTTGCTGAAAATATCCACTTGTATATGTAATCGATAGCAGAAATGAAAACCTCATACTCAAAATGCAGTATTTACTAGGCAACTAATTCAAATATATGAGAGAAAATACAAACATACATACATACACACAAATACTTGTTTACATTTACATTAACATAATACATACATATAAACATACGCTTAACTTATTATCATTGCATGTTTTATTGTAGTAAATATATATATATATATATGATCATAATAAACAAAAATAAATTCAAAAGAAAACAAAAACAAAACATATATATAAATGAAATGATTATGACTATTGAAGAAATACAGTTATGATAAATCAAAAAAAAAAAAGTTGCAAAAGTTGCGTACAATATTTTTCTTTCATCGCGACCATGCGTTTTTGATTGGTACGAATTGTTTAAAGAGCTTTGACGGGGAACTACGTCCAAGACGGCCAGCAACATCAACTGATGAACAACACGTCAATAAAATAAATAMATTGATACTTGAGAATCGACGATTAAGAGTCACAGATTTTACTGACATCTCTGGAATATCGGAAGTATCAGTGAAAGCCATTTTGAAAGATCACTTTCGCTTATGAAAAGTGAAGCACGATTGCTTTCAAAATCATTAATATTTTTTGTCGGAAAACAGCGTACAATTACTGGCGCTGAGTCTCGGATATATTCTTACGACCTCGAAACAGACGATCAATCGGTCGAATATCTTGGCGAATGTAAGCCGAAGTAGAAAAAACATGTCAAAGCAAGTCAAAAATCTGTGTTAAGTTGAGAGTTTTCATCGGTTATAGAGGTGTGGTGCACTTCGAGTTCCTTCTGACCGACCAAACTGTCAACAAAGAATACTATTTGAGTGTCATGCGTCGTTTGCGCGAAGCTATTCGTAAAAAAATGCCGGAATTTCGGGCTGACAACTCTTGGTTTCTGCACCACGATAATACACCGTCGCTTACTGCGTTGATCCTTCGCAAATTTTTGTCAAATTTTCAACCGTTATCGTGCCGCAACCAGGGAATTGTCGTTAGCGATAGCAGAGCCATAGCATAACAATGTGAAAGTATATGCTCTGCTCTGCTCCGAGTTTTGTTACGTATAAAACTATAACTGTAGCGAGAGCAAAAAATGAAGTGCTGTGTTGTGTTATGGCGTAGCGGTAGCAAAATTTTGGGACCTGTAATAGAGCAGAGCTAACAAAAATTTTCATTTGCTACAGCACCGCTCCCAATTGTTTGGCAACGCTACGCGAGAGCAGAGCACAGCACTATTCAGCCAACTCAAACGACAGCTCCGGCGAAACCGTTTTGAGTCAATTGAAGATATAAAACGTAAAATGCTACGATCTTTGAAGGCTGCTCCGGAAATTGACTTTAACAGCTGTTTCGAGGTTTGGATAAAACGTATTATATTGAGGATAAAAGGGATTACTTTAAAGGGGACGACGACGTAGATTTTGAAAAGCTAATTAAGAATCTTAAAATAATGAATTAAGTTTAACTTTTTTGTGCTCATAGTAGTACGTTAAAAAATGAATGCAACATGTATAGATCCTAGAAGTCTTCAAATAGATAAAAGTTATATGGCAAATTGGTAGTTTTGTACTTTTTGAGAAAGCGGTAGAAAGGCTGTGTAGTCAGAAAGTAAAGTTTCGAACGAAGAAAAAGCCTACCAGCTTTGCAATAGGTATTTAACCTACAAAATTTTTTTTTTTGTAAATTTGGAATTTTCTGATATTAAGTCAAAATAAGGAAGAAAATTCATATTTGGGAAGGAAATTCATATTAAGCTAGTTTGTCTTCTAACTAACTAATAATAAAACGATCATACATCAAAACGGTCTGCAGATTTTCGACGCGCTCATTACGCGACATCCTAAAAAGCCACTCCAATGTTAAATCCCCGCAATCTTGTGGTCTCTGACATCAAAACGTTGCAAGTTTTCACCAACCGATGCCTTCGCAGTATATGCAGCGTTTTCTGGCCCGTCACCTTCTCATTTAGTCACGCGTAAACTCAACAACCCTATGGGCTGAAAAGAAAGTGGGGATCGCTCGTTTATAATTTGAGGCAAGCTCTAGACAGAATCACGCTTTCAACTAGAATCCACAAGGACAACAAAAATTCGGACCCGAGCCTGGAGAAGATATTTAAATATCGAAAAAAGTTGGAATCAAATCAGGCTTTATTGTGGCCCTTCATTCCTCACAGTTTTCTTTAAGAATATTTTCATTTGCAAATAGTTTCATATCATCACAGCTTAACTTGATAAATTGGACTTGGTACGAAGTATTTCCATTTAATTCAAAATAGATCCCAAAGCATTATTTGTCGTATAAATGGATATTTATATGGACTAGACGATTTTTATTATTTTATTGATATTTTCGATCATTAGCTTTCGAGCGGATTATGCATCTTTGACATCAAAATTGTTTGGGATATGCTGTAACAGTACCTGGTAATTTATGAATTCCATTCCAAAAGAACTGCGCCGGCTTGACGGCCAAGAATGAATCAATCAAGTTCCCGTTAGAATGTCAACTGTATTCTAGTGAGGAGGCTCTGCATCGCCACGAACATATCGTAGTCCGAAAGCTAATATACAAGAGTTAGTTAGGAAAATATCTTAATAAAAATTTGTATAAATATTATAATGGGAGTGAGCCTAAAAAGGTTGAAATGGATTCATAAAATCCCTTAGATTATATATATCGTATATGTGTAGGTATAAGAATATGGATATATAATAGATAAAGAAAATAATTTGAAACTCTATTATAGTATTCCTTATTTTCCAATACTGATTATTTTTCCACAATTTTCCTTCAAACGCCACTGTTGATAGTTTCATATTGTTCAAAAATTCGAATTGAAACTTTCGGTTGTCATTATCTTGTCAGAGCTCTATTGCTTTTTATGCACTTTGAATGCTTTTTATGGCAGCTTATTCTGCTCAATTCCACATACGAACAGCGTTTTGTAACACCTACAATCATATCCATTCTGACACATTCTTCTCTAACCTATAAATTGGTTACCTTTAGATTAAAATAAAAACCAATATATCTTATATATTTTTTCAATTCTTAATTACATTTATTTATGCAAATTCAATGTGTTTAAATTATATATTCTTTACGGCATAATATTGTACAATAATCTTCCAGTTATTGTAAACGTGCAACGCTGGAACGTAAGTAATATACACAGAGAATATATGTTTAAATATTTATGTTTCGCCTTGTTCCGATAAGTTTGATATATTTTTTTGTATACATATAACTATTTATATTTAATATATTTATTTTTCCATATAAAAAAAACTAGCATTAAATGATTTTTTTGATTTTGTGTGTTTTTTACTCAACTTAAACTAGAATGTATACACATATTTGAATGTTTAGAAATTATTTGCAATTAGTTTATGCAAATTTTTTCCTACAGAAACTGCGTTATGAGTATGTCGTTTCGTGTTTTGTTTATGTGATTTTGTTTATGTGTGTATTTATGTGTTTTGATAACTTAGGTACTAATTATGATTATTTTCTGAATATAGCCGTGTGTTTATATGCTGTATATATAATATACAAATTTCTTTTAAATACATAACTACTAACTACAATAATTTCAAGAAAAGTTGGTTTCAAGAAAATAAAGTAAAATATATTAAATAATATTATATAACAAAATAATGGTAAAACAATAATTGCAATCACTGGTTGAGTATTTGTTTTTGTTTTCTAAATAAATTTCCAAATGCCAGCGGCCTGGGAGATTCAAGATTTCATTATGTCTGTATGTACATTAAATCTTTTACTTAAAACAAACTAATAAATAAATTATATTTATAATTTTATATAAATAATTACTRATGTGCTTCGAATTTTGTGCAAAATTTTTATAATAAATGCTTTGCTTTCTACTTCGATGTCACTTAAAGTTGCTCTATTTTATTTCTTTTGTCTTAAAAATAATTCTAAATATATCATTTATTTTATTTATAATTCCATGCGATCAAAGTTGACCAAAATTTTAACTAAAAGTATGGCATAAGAAGCTGAATGGAGTAACACACTTGGCAGATGCTCTTTGCTCTCTGCTTGCCTTTTACGCTGTCCGTAATTTACATAAAACTAGTTTTTACTACTCTCACTTGCTTTCTACCTTCCCTATATATATACTTTATACTTTACTTTGCGTTACTTTGCTTTACTTTACTTTTATCCAACTAAATTCGAATAAGCTCCAAACTATGGTCGAGGCACTCTTTACGTTTACGTTTCGATAAGGTGGTTTGAGAGAGTTGAAATCAAATTGCAAATTAAGCTATATTCATACTAATTAATTGAGGTTATATAAATGCAAACTTATGTATTTTAATGATTCTTAAATTCCTAAAAATGCAGCTGATACGATATTCTGGCAAGATATTTAGTTAGTAAGCTCTGTAGGCTGAAGAGAAATATTTGAAAAGGTCGCATATCAATTCAAATTGGCTTATTATAATTTATTGTAACTATTTCAATTACGTACTTTCTACAGTATGTGCAAAAGCTTTGCAACTGGGGCATAAAAGCTTTAAAAAGCTCTTACCTGTAGAAAGCTCATACCGGTAAAGCTTACCCTCATAACTTACGATAACTAGTATGTGCTCAGTTTTATGCAGATATAATGTTTTAAGATAAAAGCTCCAAAAGCTTTTGCAATTACAACTACCCATAGTTATGTAGAAATATGCGTTGTACATACTTGATATTATATGTATATGCGAATTTGACTTTTTAAATAATTAAAAATCATACTTTAGTCTAGATAGGCTTCAGAGCTTTTGGAGCTCACAGCGTTCAATAATTAGGTGAAGCAATTTTTGTTATTTGACATAAAAGCTCCTTTTGAATGTCATGTCTGGAAATGCCAAAAACTACTTAGAAAAACCTCAAAACTAGAAGAGCTTTTTCAAAAACTAAAAGTTTATTTTGTTGCAATTCATTTAGCAAATTTCACTGAATGGAACTATACACGCTCTTTACTGTTACTAAATGGCTTTCGTATCAACATTTTAACTGTTGTTTGGAAGTACTATTCTCTTCTATGTTTTCAAGCATTGAGTTAAACTCCACATAATTGCATAGGGTTGAACTAGTTGTATAAGCTGATTGTGAAAATAATTCAAAATATACTGGTATAATACATGTTTTTGAGCTTTTTGCAACGCATAAAAGCTCGTAAGTTCGTTCATTTTAATAACAGTAAATATATGTGCTCAAATGCTTTTTAATAGCAAAGTAGTAAATTCACTGAAACTTTAGGGTTAAGCTAGTTAGTGTTGTGAAAATAATTCAAATAAACTTTGAGCTTTTTGAGAATAAAAGTTCGTAAAATTCAAATTTAATATCTTTAAAGCTACACATAACAATTTTTCAGCATATGCTTGCTTTTCAAATAATTCTCTTCAGCCTATTTATTTTCTTACTTGGCTTAATATTTGATAATGATTGGTGAATAATATTATACTTTTTTGCCCACGAAGACTAATAATTAATTGTATTAAGATGTGTGTTGCTTTTTTACGTTGATTCAATTTAATACTTAACATTTGCTTAATACATGTACAAGGATACATGAAAAATTCAGTCTGAATTACGAAAATATACACTAATATCCGTATATTTTTATGTATTCGCTCGGTTTTCCGATGTTTTTAATAGCCTTAAAATGAGTATACTTTATACACGAAAGTAAATATTAATAAATTAACTTACATTAACCTAAACTTACAACTAAATTCATTTCATACAAAAAAAAAAAACTATGCTAATGAAGGATAAATATTTATCTGTATTCCTAACTTCGAAAAGATATATCGTCTTCTCATTTGCGAGTTAACAGAAATTATCAAAAAAATTATTCTTCATTCCGCTACTTTTCGGATCGACGCCTTAACATTTTATGCCATTTTTATTTTATTTTTTCAAAATATCAATACTTTCATTTGATTATCATTAATGTTTTAGCCTATTTGGATTTCGTGCGTTTTGCTTTAACAGTTTTACGCAGCTTTTCAACAGTTATTTTAGTTTTTGTTTTTATAAGAGTATTTGTGAAAATATGTTAGGTTTTGTTGTTTTTATGGTTTTACTTTTTCTCTTTGTTGCAGACACTTTTACTCAGGTTCAATATTGATGCGTTACAAATTACAATTTGGACGTTATAGTTTATAGAAGTTGGAGCGGTTAGTCTACCACGATTGACTAAGTGCTCTAACTTCTAAATGCTTTGCATCATCCATTCTACCGTCTTTCATTGGGGAGGATGTGAAGATTTGATGAAAGTCTATAACGAACTATTCACACGGACCAAAGCTTAAAGCGGTCTTTACTACATCTCTCTTTGCTAGTGCTTTTCTGTACACTTGTATCTTTCTTTCCTTTTTTCTATACATTTATACATTCTTTTCTCTCTTGTTTACACAACAGAATATTTACAAAAAGTGTCTTCAGCTATTGCTGTGTCCCACGCGTTAGCTAATAAATGCAAGTTTGGTAGCATAAATTATTATTTTATTCATGATTTGAAGTGTGTTAAGTGGTCATCCCATGTGATTGGCTCTTTTTTCATAAATTGCTTTCTGAACATGTCTAGAAAAGCAATTTTTAAATATTCGAAGTCGACTTAAAGATACAGCAGTTAGAATATGGAGCTATACGAAGCGCTGAGTTGCGTAATTGAAACTTTAAAAGCGTTTTTCTCAAAACAGTGTTTTTCAAACTTTTTTTCATCGTATCACAAAAACTGTTTGAGTGAATGGCTTGGACATTCAGGACATGTAAGCGCATACAATGTATTTTTATAGTAAAAAAAAACCCAAATTTGGCAAATTTTTTTGAGTATCTACCAAAATTCTCTTTTTTACATTTAGGGTTATCGATTAAAATGCCGTTAATTCTTTTGTTTTTTTAGCAAACAAGCATAATAAGTCAGTGTGAAGGAACCACGAGCCAAGTTTTTCGAGGCGGTGTTTTTCAAAGCTGGGATGAGCCCCTTAAGGTATTAGTGATGAAAGAAGATTTCCTAAATATATTGATAATCTGGTGGGTTTTCAGTTTATCTACAAGCGTTGAATTAAATATGTAGCTTTGAAAGTATTTTGTATTATCAAAACATGATCATTACTAGCTCTGTGATCTTAGTGATCTTGAATCGAAATATTACGAAAACATAACCGAGAATTTGAGTTGTAAACTTCTTATAAAGAGACGCTTAATTATTTCAGTCTACTGGGTTTATACCAGTTGGTTCTGCGATTCGCAACTTTGCAAAATCAGATGAATCAAGGGCAGTACAAAAAATCTATAATCTGGTCCTAAAAACGTTAGATTTAAATTATAAATAATATTTGAAAGACAGAAATTCACCCAAACTTATAAAAAGTAATATATATTTGTTTTTTTTGTACAGGAAGCTATTGAGGGCGTATGTGCGCTATGTTTGCTTCGCCATCAAGTGGTGTATGAGATCGGAACTGTTAAAAAAGGGAACAATTTATATCTTTATTCAAAGCAGCAAATGGAAGTGCATTAAAAAGTGTAAGAGAGAGAGAGTTCAACCATCGGGTATAATTGAGAACTATTGATTTTCCTATGGGGCTACGCAAAGTAATTCGATTCTGGCTTTGGCAAAATATCGCGCGTGTCATTTGCCAGTTACCAGTCGAATTGTTCGAACGAATGGCCGAAAATTGAACTCATCGAATGGATCATCTGATATGTGGGCACGGTAAACATAGAAGTAAGAGATCACAAAGTGGATCACACTATAGTTCTGAATCTGACCAAAAAGCGGATTTTCGTCAACTTTTTTAACGCTGCAATTTACCAATTTTTGAACTTATTTCGAGCGTGAGTAGGGTAATATATCCTAGTATGTGAGTGTTTTTAGGTTTCATTCACGTAGAATGGCGGAATAAAAATGTGAAAAATTGTTTCCTTAATTTCCAAAAATGTTCTCTTTTACGCTAACGGACTATGTGTATCCCTTAAGACGAAGGTCCTCAAAGTAGAAGCGCGAAAATTTTACAAAAATTAAAAAAAAAAAAAAAATAAACTTAAAACTCACCAAATTATCAACGTTATTGTATTATTGTTCCCTAATTAAATCTGAGTCCACTCCTTCCCTATTCTTTTGCTTTTCATTTCGATTTTCATTTTTACATTTTTATATAAGCTTTATGTTCTTTTTTCACTATTTCTGCGGTTCAATAAATACATAGCATAACTATTTTTTAGATTTTGTTCTTGCTTTATGTTTTCGTAATTTACTCCTCTCAATACTTGCAAACATATACATACATTATGGAGCTCTCGTCTTACACTAATGATCAACTTAACAAATAAATTTACAAGTACATACATATACATATATATAGCACTTACAGCTGTGTGTTTGTATGTATTTATACTGTTACCTTTACATGCTTAACTAAGTTGTTGTGTTTCGCTTTTTATTTCTATTTTAACAATATTTTTTTCTTTTTGTTTTTGTTTTTGTTTTTCTACTGACATCGGCCACTGTAGTGTGGCGATGGCACACGACGTATAGTTGCGAAGTGTTGTGTTTGTTCTTGTTGGTATTTTTGCTTTAGCTGCCGTTGCTGTTGCTGTTGTTGTTGTTGCTGTCTATTTGTATCGCTTTTCAACATTTTCTGATTAATTTTCCAAAGTTGCACTGGCATTGGTTGTTGCAATATTGTTATTGGCAGTGGCGTAAATTGTGCGGACACTCGATTTGGTTGTTGTTGTTGTTTCTGCTGTTGTTGAGCTGGTGGCTTTAATGACACTTCTGGTTGCATTAGCGGTAGTTTATGTTCATTTATTGTTGTGTTTTTCTGCAATTGCTGTTGTTGTTGTTGTTGATGATGCGGTCACACGGTCGTCTCATCATCATCAATGTTCCTCCTAAACACACACACAGACGCACGCACAGATTGCAATAAAATAGAAACAGTTGTGAAATGGTTTTAGATTACTGCTGGTTGAGTCAATACTAATTAATTGTGGTGAAAAAAAGTTAGTAAAAGCTAACGGTGCTGTTTTGTCAACAGTTGTGCTGCGCTATAAATTTATTCCTTTCATGAAATGCGGTACATATGGATGAATTTGAAATTGTGTTGTGTATATACATTTTAGTTATAGTTTTGGTTAAAATTTTGGTTAAAGTTTTGGTTAAAGTTTTAGTTAAGTTTTGGGTTAAAATTTTGATTAAATTTTGTTTAAAGTTTGGGTTATAGTTTTGGTTAAAGTTTTGGTTAAATTTTGGGTTAAAATTTTGGTTAAAGTTTGGGTTAAAGTTTTGGTTAAATTTTGGATTAAAATTTTGGTTAAAGTTTTGGTTAAAGTTTTTGGTTATAGTTTTGGTTAAAGTTTAGGTTAAAGTTTTGGATTGTGAGGATTTTACATTCACCGAATGATGCTTCAATGATTAGCCAAAACACCAAAAGTCGCTAAAGGCACTGCTGGCTGTCATAGTAAAAGCTTGTATATAAGAAGTGCATTGAAGATTACTTAAGCGTTGACATACTTTTATTGGCTTAGAAACTTTTTTGAGTGTGGTTATAGAAATTTGATTAGAATAGGTGAAAATTTAGGAGTTTAACAGTTTGGATACAATTTGAATTTCTGATCTTCTATCAAAGTATCAGGAAATAATTATTACGTTTCATATTGCCTACATTTTGCGATTTAATAAACTAGACTCTTTCATTGTAAGTTATTAGCAAGAAAAACTCTATAAAGTAAAAAAATTATAGGTTAAGCGACCAGCAGTTATAGAGATTAAAAAAGCAGCAAAATGAAGCGTGTGTTTGGCTTGTCTGATGTTTTCCGTAAACAGCAATAACTTTGAAAAGAGTTCAGTTTAGGTGGTATTAGTTAAAATTTGGGAACGAATTTCGCGCAATATTTCATGAAAGGTATAAACTACAGTATTTCGTACTACAAAAGTATTTCTGGAAATAATAATAATATATTTTTAGCAATGAAAACTACTAAATTTAAAATGTTAGTCATTAATATTTATATTTAAGCTAAATTAGTATTGCGCTAAAACTAAAAATTATATCATGCAAAATACCAATTTTTAGCGTAAAATAAGAGGCTTCAAAAAAATAAATAAAAATAAAAACAATTTTTTCATTAGTTTGTATTTTCAAATAATTCTTTGAAGAGCGAACTATAATCCGATAACCTTACTCAACTTTTAAACAATTTTTTCCACAAACCACATTTATTTCACATATTATTGTACACAGTAGATTTTGTTTTTGTGTTAAGCATTTCTTGAGAGGTTTTCATTCTCTTATAGGAGAGCCAAATAATCTACCAAAATAAATACTTGGTTGTACGTTCAATATACTTTTGACACAGAAACTACGTAGAAGTCTACATATTTCCAAAACTGTTTTGTTCGTGATGCTTATTGTTTTTCAAAACCTTAATATGATGTACTTTAGAAATTGTCGGTAAAAGTTATATGCTACATGCTGTTTTGCTAGTTTTGAGGCGGTAAGTCAAACCAATGAACTATGTTAATAAATCTGCTATGGCTGAAACTAGTCGAGATCGGCTAAGCTGAATAAAGTATAAATAGGAGATTGATCTTCTTAACTTCGATTGAGAAATTCTTGGAGTAATAAACCTTTTATTAAATGATATTAAAGGGTGGAACTAGTCTTGAGCTGTGAAGGAAGTTGTCATTATGATCTAGAGAGATCACACTTGGACTGCTATATGTAGTTCTTTGTGAAGCCATAGAAAAGAAGAACTCCTTTATCCTTATGCAGACGGCGTCTTACGGAATTGTGATAGAAAAAAGTCAAGGTTCCAATTACGTACAGTTAGGGGTTAGCAGGTAACTAGGCTTTTGCTTTTAACTCTCTTCAGTCTAATAGTTAGGTTGGGTTAGATGGCTGATCAAAAATCGCAGGTGGACTACTATATGTCTTTGTATGCCATAGAGAGGAACTCCTGTGTTTGAAGTTATAAATTAGCAAAACGCTTAGTAGCCAATACGAATTTTTACAGGAGTTTAATTTGTATTCCCGTCAGTTCGGTCGGATGTCAGAAGATCCCAAATATTTAGTCTTGAAACCCGCTCCCATTCCATCGATAACGGTTCTACGGTGCCTTCCCTTGCTAGGTCATCATCAGCTTTACATTTTACTGCGATTCCGCTGAGGTTTGGCACTCATACCAGTATTATCGCAAAGACACTGCAAGCTATTGATTGCGAGGTTAGGCATTCCTCGAAAACCCCTTAACGCACTATTATTGAGTTCAAGGCTAGTATCGCCGCTCTGCCATCTGAGTGGATGGTTACTGCTCTGAAAGAGCTAGTAGTAAATCTACTGCTACCTTAATGACTGCAACTCGGCTTGGAAGACACAGCAAAAGTCAGGAAGTTTAAAGCTGAAGTTGAAATAGAGCTCTTGACAGTAAATGTGTGATAATTTCCGTGTGTTTAGACATTGGTTCATTTAGGAACCCAGATTCTCTGAGTCTGATAGCAACTTCCGAAGTCACACCACCCGTAACACGCTCTCGAGTGTAGTCTTTTGCTAGGCCCTTCGACACATAAATCCATATTCGGGAGGTAGGGAAAAATAAAATGAATTCCCATGTTGGTTATTAGATAATGTTATTATGAAGCTAGATGGATATTTGCGATAATCGTCGCCTTTTGAAAAGTAGTTTCGAGTTTTGAATGATTAAATCCACAAGCTTAGCTCTGTTAATTTTGATACTACAGTAGATTTAACATGGACATCTATATTGTAATATTTTTAAGTCGTTATAATCCACTTTATGCCAAAAACAAAATCTGACATTTTGACAAATTTTGCCCGGCTGACTCGTTTAACCCCTAAACATTTTTACCATTTCGGGTAATAATAGCCATGAATGCATTGGATTTATGAAGTGAGTACTGAAAAGTTGGGGTACATTTTAGAAGTGAAATTATGTGTGTATTTCTTCGAAGCAGTTCCTTCGGAATTTAATTTATTTCTTCGAAATATTGTTGCAATGAATATACTGATTTCCATAAAAATTGATTATATTGATGATCGAAAAAGTCTTTTTGTATTTTTTATTTTAAAATTTGATTAATAATACAAAAAAACTTTTTCGACTATTAAATGTTATACACCACAGATATTCGTGAAATAGCGTAGTATTATTATACATATGCCGGCTACATGTAGTACGAGTGCATTTATAAGTAAATATTTTAGAAATATATCTACATAAGCCTGTGATAAACGCAAAATAATATTAAAAGCCCATTTAAATACTAATGCATTAACAAATGTAAAAGCAATTATATAAATTACGCACCGAAATTTGTTGCTTTTGCACTTATTATAATTGCGCTTTGTGCGAATTTAGGCGTTTCGGCACGAACAAATGTATAAATACTCTCATCTACAAATTAATATAATTTGTGCCTTCCAATATGGAAATGCATGAAAATTCTATGAAATATTCTAAATATTTAAACTTCAAACTTTTATTAATTTTAATTATTTGATGGCTATGAAAGTTGTGTTTTAATAGGTGATATATGCATACATTCCTAACAATGTATATGTATATACTTGATGCCATACTTATACAAGTATGTATGGGAACTAAAAATCGCATGCCGAAAATGATTAATTTCAACAAATTTAGTTGGGTGCTTTTAATTTAATGCATTTGATGAAAATAAATGGAAATTGATAATGTATTATGGAAATTTCCATAAATGTATCTAAATTAAAATTTACGAGTACTTAGTACTTGTAAGTATGTAGCGCGAGTGTTCGAAAATGTAAGCAAATCTACATACGTATGAGTATGAGCGGATTGATGGTTGAACAATGTTCGTGTCTATTGTGTGAGTGTAACTGGTAAGTGTGTGTGTTTGTGTTTTTTGTGAAGTCTTTGTGTTTGGGAGCGATATTCTAATTTTTACTACACTCATTGTATTTAGTTTATGCTAACAAATAGATTTAAGCAAATATTTTTGATGGGGAATTTCAATAGAATTTTATCATGTAATTAATGTACTGAGCTTTTGAAGGTAAAAATTTAAGTACTTTGATTTCTACGAATTTACAGAATTTTCTCCAAATATTATCTACCGTAAGTCTTATCGATCTTTGTTAAAAATACCAACTAAAAATATTTCTTGCAAACCATTATCAAATTAGATTCAAATTTCTTTCGATTTCATAATTGAAAATGGTTGTTTACTCCTGAACAACGCGGGCTTCGCTCAACTTATGGTCAATATAATGGACCTACTGAGCGTACTACGGATATTACCAGCATAAATTATTGAAAAATATTCCACCGAATTGAAGCTCTGATCTCGATGACATTTAGTTTCAACAAGACGAGACTACTTCCCACACATTGCATCAATCAGGGGATTTATTGAGAGAACACTTTGGTGAGCAGATAATCTCCGGTTTGGACCGGTCGATGGGCGACCAAGATCATGCGATATCACACCGACTTTTTCCTATAGCGATATGTAAAGTCAAAAGGCCATAGAGCAAAACATCAGGCGTGTCATTCGCCAGTTCAAAAATGCCAAAGAGTGTTCTGTAAATTTGAAGTTTTTGTATTTTTTCTTAAAAAAAAAAGTAGGAATCTTGAAATGGATCAACCTTGGGTGAAACGTTTTTTATGCACAAATGATTTCAATTTAAAGTTTTTAAAATAAAAAATATTTTTTTCTAGATCTGAGCTATATTTTTTGTTAAATATTTTAAATTGCATCCAGAACAAACCTAGCCAATTATAATTAAGTTAATTAAAATACGAGAGTATGTGGAAACCTTATGAAAGGTATTTAGACGCCTGCTTGATTAAGTGACTGTTACCAGCTATATGTCGCTACTTTCCAAAGCTTATGGAATCGAGCGCAGCTAGTGCCAATATTTATTGATATTACGGGCAAATTACGCAAGAAATTTAGCGCTGAGTAAATGTGGAAATTAGGGTAATAATTTTATGATTATTATATTGATAAATATATATTTACTTTGTTAACTAAATTGTACGTTTAATTAAGTATTGATTTGCACTAAAATTTTTCGATTATAATTCAAATTCTACAACACAGTTATATATACTATATGTTTATCTTTTCAATATTATAAATATCTGTTTAGCATTTATTATATTATTATTTAGTGCGATAAGAGAAAATTATTTGAAAACTATTCGAGAAGTGCAGAAGTTAGGAAATTTCCACTAGCAGTAAAGAAAGCATATTTTAAGTGAGAAATTTGAAAATTGTCTCTCTTTAACTACGTGTACCAGATTGTCAGAGACCAGGGATATCGGCGACGCCAGCGATGCAGCCAAATAATGTCCAACTGCAAATGTGTGTGTGTGTTAATATGTTTATAATAAATGCGAAAATTAGTAGATATGTACAATGTGATATGGTTTCAAATATGATATGCAAGAAATGTTGTGAGGCAAATGTTCCTACTGGAATGTTCGTGGGTTTTGAAAATCATACATGTGCAGTAAATTAGAAAATTGTCAAAGGTCTAACAAACATTAATTTGAATTAAAAATAAATTTTTTTTTTTTTTTTTTTTTTTTTTTTCACAGCTGATTCTCTACAAAATCTAATTTCGAACAAAGATGTTCCTGAGAACACCAGAGAAATTTGAAATTGAAAAAAAAAAATGAGATGGACTTATATTGACCGTATTACTTGATACAAAGTAAGTAACCATTGCAAGTTATGTATTTTATAGTGTAGAAGAGCTTGGTGTCTCATGCGCTTCAGAGCTCTATCATAAGTTTTGAAATAGCCTCCGCGCAATAGTGATTGCTAGCTTAACATAAGAAATATGTATAAAACCTTTTTTTTAGTTTAAATTTAGGTTAGCTGGCTAATCACTCAAGTTGACGATAGGATCACACTTAGACTGTTATGTAGGGGATTTTGGAGGCCGGTATATAGCTTCTAGTGTTACATATCTATCTCGACGAAACGCTTTGAAGCTATCAAATCTGCTTGGGTAATTTATTTTGAGATCCGTTATTTCACCTGAGCTTCGTGAAGCAAGTGTTAAGGGATCAACTCTAATAACTATTGATAGTTGAACTTTGCTTAAGGCGTAGAGCTCTGTCGGCTTCTTGCGATTTACTCTCGACCAGAAGGACCTTTTGGCAGTTGTTAGTAGCTAACCCGCTCGTCAAACCATTTAGTAGTGTTAACATAATATACTGATTCTAGATTTTGTAGGAAGTCTTTATTTTATTAAATGTTGGATATATATGTTAAAATGATTTAAATGGGTTGATAATAGCCCCGCGTTTGATGTCAGTTTTGAGAGAGATACTAATATTTTCCAGTCAGATATTTGAAAGCATTTGTTGATTTCTGTAAGGGATAATATGGGTTTTTTCATTGTCATATTAAATTCTATAAATCTTTTACAATAGTAGAGTGCTAAATTTTCAAGTTGATCCGAGTATTAGTTTCAGATAATGCGGCTTTGAGAACTTGTGCGCTCGAGGCTAGCTAGGCTAAGTGCACTGTCATTAAACGTGCTTTTCACGAAAGTGTGTCTTTGGGATACAATTCTTTAAGACTTGGATGAAGGATTATTTTTCAATAACAACAATTTGAAAAAAAAAAAATATAGCGCTGGTTTAACTGAAATTTTTATTTTTTGATGAAAATGTCCAAGTTCTAAGTTAAGATTTTAACTAATATCGTATAAGGAGTTATTCTGCCAACGCGGGCGCATTTTCTTCCGAGGGGTCACTGGAAATGGCGTCGAAATAGCTGAATTTAAAATTTTTTCTTCAACAATTTCAGAATTTCTATGTTAATAGTGTATGTTTGTAACAATAATACACTTCTAATAAAGTATTTCGTTTTTTATATGAGAAACAAATTATTGAAAAAAGGCTGCTTTTTAGTCGAGGAAACCAATGTATCCCTTTAAACGAAATTTCGGAAATAAATGTTGCTTTAAAATATAATACCAATAAAGGCCATCATTAAAGGAGCTGAGGTGAATTACCCCTTCACGAACAAAGTCTCTCGTTACACCTTTACTATAAGATCGATCATAAAGTGTTTGAGAGGATTGTCTTGACTATGATTTAGCGACCATTATGCCTTGTCAATGGTAATTACCTCTTTAAAGGGAACAAAATGTATGAAAAAATAAGCACGGTTTATTATAGTGGTCCTACTAGCTAGAATAGCGTACTTGGAGTAGAAGCAAAGTCTCCAGCTCGGAGGGTAAGCGGTATTAGCTCATGGGGCCAGAACTAGGCAATAGTTAATTGTGTGAAGTAATGAAATTAAGGGCGGAAGCACTGACTGCATCAGCAAAATCACGTTTTATGGAGTGATGAGTTATGGTATAAAAATATCAATAATATGCGAAGAGACTCTGAAGGTGAATTTTTTAAGAATTCGCAAAAATATTATATGATTCAACCACTTTCATTCTAAATCCTTTTTGTGTCCAATAGTTTCAGTTTCCTATATAATTTTTCAGCATATATTTTTGAAAAAAAATATAATTATTCTAATATTATGAATAATTCAAGTCAATGATAATTTAATGTCAAGAATATGGCTGGAGTTTTTCCCACGAAAATGCAAAGTTTTACAAATGAGCGTTTTCTCAACAAATTCAGAATTAGATTTATCTAAAAAAATTTAACAAAAAATTCAAAAAGTGACGTCGCAACACATAAAACTACGATAAATTGAATTGCAATTACAAACAACCGAAATTTGGTAAAAACAACAACAATCAAAGTGCATTTACATGATCAATTTTCAAAATGCATTTCACGCACATTACACAAAAACAAAAACATAAATTAAAAAAAAAAAAAAATGGAGGATATAAAAACAACGTGGAAAAGTAAAATTATTTATTATTTATGCACGTAAATGGAAATCAACACACAAAATATTGGTCAACATAATATTATATATACAATTAGTTGCGGAAATGAAGTGATTTTTAATGAAGTCTAGATAAATGTAATGTTTGTTATTGTAATTGTTGTTAGAACATGAATAATGATGCTTGTTTGTTACCTCTGAACTGCGTTGATTGTTGTTGTGGTTGGATGAAAATGTAGAGTAGAGGCGAGTAGAGTAGAGTGGAGAGTACAGGAGAATGCGAGAGTTTTTGCAATTTTTCGTTTGCGTTTTTGGTTTCGGTTTTTGCATAGTTTACGGTTAAGTGAGTAGTTTTTGTTTGTCACAATTGTCACAATTGTTGTTATTGTAGTTGTTTTTTTTTATTGGTTGAGCATGTGTTGTTTTTGTGTTATTAGCATTGTTAGTTGATGTTGTTGTTGGCAGTGTGCAACGGTATTTTGGTCATGTGGTGTGAAATGCATTTGTAACGAAATTTTGATGCAGCGCGCGTGTTTGCATGTGTGTGTGTGGACGTGTGTGTATGCAGGCGTAATGGACACCACACATTTGTATTTTCGATAAATTTAGGCAATGGCGTGTGTGAACGTTGTTGGTGTTGGCGCAAATTGGCGGTTGAGTATGCAATTTATGGTCATATTTCAGCGGCGTACAGGGTTGCATTTTCGGTGTTTATTTAATTATTTTTGTTGCACATCCATTATAATGCAGCATCGTATAAATTTATTATTTTAATTTAAAAAAAAAAATTTTAATTTTTTCCAA